TCATATTACCTGGACTCCATTATACATGACTAGGCGCACAACATATAAGTTGAAGCCAAGTCCCTTCTGTTCATATCATCTGGACTCCATTATACCCATTTCATCTATTATATCCAGAGACCAAATTGACACCTAGATATTAAGACGTAACATTGATCCATCTCTGTACAATATTGTCAAGTACTGATCCGACTGGCTCATAATTCTCATAATTCTATTATTTCTATTATTCATGTTCTATGCATTTGACTCATTCATTTGTAATCGTTCATTCAGACCTTTTCCGTGTGGCTGACTTTTCCCACATGGCCATCACGCTCACTTTATTTTCTTGTTGACTCAATCTTTGTTTTCTGACCGGATTTCTCTTATCTTTTCTTATCTGTTTTTATCTTTGCACCATGTGCTCATTTCTCACTTGTGCCTCAGCTGATGTATTTGACCCTTCAACATTTACGTTATTTTCCCACTGGCTCCGCACGGTGTATCATCACACCATCATACACCAATTATGTTTTTATGATTCATCTTTGATTATCTTTTTATCCAGTGTTTTTCTGCTCGGTTAATTATATTTAAATACACTCATTTGTATCTACTTTTACTCAGTCAGAAATCGAATCTCGTATTATCTGTTAACTCTCCTCTTGTCTGTTTCTCCACTCAGGTTTTCATTCCCATTTGGCTCTGTTCTTATATCTTACTCTTGAACTCTGAAGTAGGGACAACCTACAACTCTGCAGGGTGCAGCACACAAGTTGAAGCCAAGTCCCTTCAGTACAAGTCGTTGGCATTTCCGACCGAAAACATTGACTTACTTCCACGTGGCTTACCAGGTGTATTCTGTATCAGGATGTAACAAATATATTGTTGAGTGAGCAATCAGTTGAGGTCTTGCAAAGATATTGATATTTTGAATTATTCCGATACTAAATGTGTGCACAATCAAGCCATGCCTTGCATACTGCAAAGCACTGTAAAGCTAGAATCAAGGAGAAACCAGGAAAAGTATCAGTCTGATCACAGAAACATGGAATATTGCATAAAATGATAATCTTTGATGTTTTTGGCTGATTTTTGAGGACAGGACATATTTTCTTTGTATTTCTTTAATGGGGCTGCTTGGTGTCAATAATTATGGTGACACAGTGTTGACATGGTATTGACATGGTGTCCCCAGGTATGAAGGCAACCTACACCCAAAGTGCCACAGGTCACACTATCTGCATGCTAATAGTTTTTCTTCCCTCAGCTGTTACCACTACATTCAACTGAGGTATGTCTCCAAACCCATTATTCATATTTATACTTCACTTATGTATTATGATAGCTATTTACTTTTAGCTTTGAGAGGTTATGGGCCCCATCTAGTGACATATTAGTAACCACAAGAGATTACACTGATACCTCAAACAAATCCTAAAAGACAGTAACCTGCACACAATGACAATGCCAGTGGCAGACTCCATGTCACTGTGTCCTACCTTAACTGGTCCAGAGGACTATCAATAATGGAAACTCCGCATCAAGAGTATCCTCAACTGGGAGAAAGTGTGAGACACACTTCTTGGGTGACCTGCCACCATGCCACCCACACTATTAGGCAGTACTACATTCCCAGCTCCTGGAGGCTGAGGGATGGACACTGGGAAATCTACAATGCCAAAGCTCATGGAATCCATCACCCAGTATATTAGTGATCAGCTATTGGAAGACCTTGAATCTGAGACAACCGCAAAAGGCCTATTTGACCACATCATGAAAATCTTCGAAAAGACCAACATCAGTGTAATGACATTCTACACCTTCATCTCAATGATGAGCTTCCAGTGGGATAGCGAGTCCCCTATCATACAGTATATCTCCACCATATCATCCATGAACACCCAACTCACCTCAATGAAGAAAGGGTTCAATGACAAGATGCTGGCCTTCCTGCTACTTCACTTGCTCCCAAAGAACTCAGCCTAGGAAATTTTCACAGCTTCTGTCCTTGGGTCTCTCCCTGACAGTGATGTCCTATTGTTCTGCACTGTGTCAGATCAACTCATTGCTGAAGATGTGCACCACAGCAGCAATGCAGGCATTGAATCAGAGGCAGCGCTGAAGGCAGCAAAAGCCAACAACATAAAGAGCCAGCCGAAAGCAAAATCCAAGACAGACAAGTGGTGCTCAAAAATGACCACACTAGGATTTGAACCTTCCCATAATATCTAGGATGCTCTACCAACTGAGCTATAGGGTCAATAGGTGAGTGCTGTTGTTGATATCATATGGCTGTAATACTACCATAGTCAACACACCCTCCTAATGTGGCAGCCATATGGACTATTTATGGTCTATGCATGTGACTCCTAGCATTTTTCTGAATATGGTAAGTGCATATAAGCACACAGGGCCCATAACCTGTTGTACTTGGTGCCCTCCTAAATGTTCATTTATATCTATATTGCTTCCAAATATGTAATTACAAACTAAATAATGAAAAAAATTATAGTTATACACATATAAATGGAAATAACCTAGTTAGGAACAGCATGCCTCACTGGTAGCCAGTGCTCAATGTCAATCACCAGAGGGTTAAATAGCCTGATAGGGGGTTATATGCTGATCAATAATGATCATTATAAACATTAAATGTAATATTTAATTTGAGATATGTCTCTGTGGTGGTTAAAGTGTCTAAGATGGTAATGGAGCAAATAGGAGGGGACCGGAGATTCCATGTTTCAGCTCCCCAAGGCTCGGAGAATCATGGGTTTCATGCTGATTTAATACACAAGGACTCTAATGAGATATATTAACATGAATGATAAGGGGAGGTGGTCCAGAAAAGAGGATTAAATGATGTATTTCAGTATAAAAGTCAGCTTTTTCAGCTAGATCTGGCCATATACTTCAAACAACCACATGTATAAACCTGCAACTAATTTTCCAGTAATCTAATAAATCAGAGGATTCTAAAAATTGCTACTTTTTGAAATCAGTCCAGTGGTCCCTTGTCGGTTGAAAGTTGAGACAGCCGAACAAGAGTCTGGGACACAAAGTAAGCAACCCTTATATCGTTCCGGGACATGCTAGCGGAAGCAAATGGCTGGAACGGGCTAAGCGGACCCCGCGCGCGCTGTTAGTTACTCGTCGTACGTACGCTCTTTCACCCTCCACAAGTACGATTTATTTGATTCTCCAAAGTCAAATATTATAATTACTTACAGCTATTTAAATACAAAAAATCCACCGGATTCAGAGCCCTCGGACAGCTTGAATCGCACCCCAAACAGTCCCATCAATATTCCAAGCCTGCCGAGGCCAGTGCCGCTCAGCAGAGCCACTTGTGCATGTCCCGCAATGAAAATAGACACTTAGATCTTTATGGGACATGCTCGGCGCCCGCCAAAATGTGATTGTGCCCATGTCCCGTAAAAATCTAAGTTCTGACGGGTTTATGGGACATGCATAGTTTCCCACGCACCTTCCCAGTCATAGTATCCTCTATTCCACCGTTTCCTCTCCTTCTGCTCATTTATCAAGCTTCAAACATTATCTTCTACCCTCTAGGCATCTTATTCGCCGGTATTCGCAAGCCAGATCACGTCATCACGCGTCCACTCGTCGTCGCCGTCGTGTTCATGTCCATTCACATAACCGCCGCAACATCCGTGATATATAATTTATATTGCCACAATCTTGAGTATTTGCGGGCTTTCTCTCTCATTAAGAAATATATTTTAGGTATATACCCCTATTATAAGGTATGTTACATCTTACTCAAATATTTAAGTTTTGTTTAACGGGCTGTTTTAGCTCCCACATCCTGCCGCTTAACTTTTGTTATTTTGAGGTAGGCATGTAGTCGAAAAATTAATTCTTAATATTTACAATTATTTACATTACATTACACATATCCGCATCATACACCCGTGAAGTCACGCCCTCGCACTTGCACTTGCACCTGACCTGCACGCTCACCACTCGACTCGCGCCTCCGTGAACTCAGACGCCTCTTTGGCTCTCATAACCCACGTAATAACCAAAAGTTCTTTTCAATGTAAATGTGAGTACAATTTGAATCCTATAAATTGTTATAGCCTTTTTCCACGGTTAATCTCCCGGTTTCCCTAGTACTCTCTTTCTTCTTCCCTATGGTACTAAAACTCGAGCCCTGGTGTATCCGAATAATGCAGCTAACTGAACTATCTTAAGCATCAATTTTTATTTGTATGAATGATTACCGCCTGCCGGATGTTTCCCTCTTACCTGGCAACCAATTGCTTAAATAATTTCTTAAATTCATGTATATATCTGAGAGGGTCCAATAGGGATTTAGTGAAGAATTCTAAGCTAAAGATTTGGTGAAATTAATTAATTTTGTCAATGTGAATGAAGCCGCCCTGACAATGAGAGTTTGCTACCGCTCAGGAGTACGCGAGGTCCTCATTAGACGCTCGTGTCCCGGGACATGGCTTATATAAGCGGTCCCCGCCAACACCTCATGTCCCATAAAAAAGAAGCACCTTGGGACCGGAAGTATATACGCGTGGGAAATTGTTGGGTTTTGTATATTTGACCCTTGTAGACTCATATTGCGGTGCTAGGAGAGGCCCGGCTTCACTTCACATCTCAAGTAAGCTATTTACTTGCACTGCATAGTACCTATTGTAAGAAAGAAGATTGTCATTATTACCTTTCAGAATCTGATACTATTTTCACCTTGCTACCGGGGTTGAGGTAGTCTGCATTACGTTAAGAAGATGATGACCGAGGCGTCAGGCTCACCTCAGATAAAACGTGTATAAGATGCTCAGACCTTCCTGTTTTGAGGTCAGATCCACCCATCTTCCAAAGGGTTTCAGCATGTCGGCTGACAGCGACAGGTCTGTTAACAAATATCATCTGCTTGCGCAAATTACTGAAGTTATAACAGTCGTTTGGCCATCAGTATCATCAGCGCTGCTCTTAGTATGTATGGCTGATTCCAAGAACTACGGAGCTTATATTTCCTCTAGCGTTGATTTTGTACAATGGCGCCCTCATAGTATCGGACGAAATATCTTTAATATGGACGCGACATATTAGTTTAGGATCAAGCCTATATCTACTCTCCAAGACTGCCATCATCTTCGAACAAACGTTTTCCTTGGCTTTCATGTTAAACAGAACGTAATTGCGCATCTTGCACTATACCCGAGTCAAGCCTTTTGGGGTTACTAACCAAGGAGATCCATTCATATAGCTCGGCCAAAAAGTGTAATACGCTATCCGTGTGTAGCAAAGTCGCGCAGGTTCTATGTCAATGTGGTATAACAGGTAAGATTAAGTTAATAGAGCCAGATAATCTTGTTAATTTTCCCAGGACTACTGTTTGGAAGAGCATACGCTGTTTGCGGGCAACATGGGAGACTGAAAAATATACTTCGCATCCTGTTTTCGATTTATATGTGTTTCCTCGTCGTGCGTGAATTGCGTTAAATTGAAATGTGGCATATTAATTAACGGTATCCAGGCTACGCTGCCGTTTGCATCATGCCGATTCCAGAATACTCCTTTGACTTTGTATGTAGGCTGATTACAAACATTACTCATTGGCAGATGACTTAGAATGAATCTGATACTTTAGGGGTATGTGTTGTGTAACTCAGCATCGTTTAGCGCTGACATTCTAGGCTGATGTGCTGACATAGATATGATTGTCACGGGAATCTCAATGATATTTGAGAGCTGGATCGTGATTTTCACAGTTTGGCATATTCGAAGGATGGCTACCGTGAAGGTCCAGGGTTCTGTGCCGATTTCAGAAAGGATACTTCGTCAAAGTAAGCCAGCTCAAGTTTGCCTTTAAAAATTGTTATTGAAATGCTACAGGCAGCATCCTCTGCGTGTTGAGTGCATTCACCTATAGATAGCACATGTCCGTCTAAAATAATTCAATAGTTTATTGTTCTTTCGTGATATCGAAGACATCGTCATGCGTATCGTGCGTATCAATCACAATGAAGTAAAGGAAGCCGAATAACTGACACCGTCAATATTAGGTTCTTCCTGTGAGAGCTCCGCAGTCAGTATTGTTCAGATTACATGTGCTAATCAGGACCTAGGAATCTATTAGCGGAATAGATACGCCTCTAGCCGATGCGTAAGGATAATGTTTATCGATTATATTAAAATTGGTTCCTAAATTACCAATTGTCAGATTTACACTTATAGTCATCAGTCGCTTCTTCATTCAACTGAGGAAACTTAGCGCCGCCCGGGTCATACCGTCAACGTCAATATCCAGTGGAGCGTCACATCTCTTAAAGGTGGTACTAAGGTTTACTGATAGTGCATTAATGCATGAATTTGGAGACGAACAAACATCCCATTCAATGAATTCCAGTTTCATTGAGGATCGACGGGAGGGTAGTTTAATACCAAGGGAAGGTCTAGACGAGTCATGGTATGAGATGGGAAACATTGACTGATAAGAATATGGTCGAAGATAGCAAAATAAATAGATATTTATGGGCTTATCTCAAGATGTCATTAGCTTTGGACATTTTCATAAACCAAGGTCCTTGGTTTGTTAAATTGTTGAGATTGCGGGCAAGGTGGTCATTTATTGAACCTCATGAATGCATTAGGAAATTCATTCCATTTTAGCACATAGATTCCATGTCCCTCCATTGCAGTCTCTAAGCACTAGTGTCAAAATTGGCCAAAATTAAATGTTCATTCGTCACTCGTCACATTGTGACTACTCGTCCCCACCTCCTTAGTAATTCGAGTTTACGAGAATGGAGAAGGAAAGGGTGTTGTCGTGCAGAAATGAATGCCCTTTTCCGAGTCCTAAGAGAATCCTAAGTATCCTCGATCATTCTATACTTTAAATGGTATTATCCCCATGCTAATGCTTCGGCTGTGGTGTGTCGCTGTCTCCTATTGGCCGGTCCCTTGTTTCGTTATGTGGCCTTGATGACTCGTTGGAATCATGCTTACACAAAAGTTTTTACATTACAGCACTATGTGTTATTCTTTTAGTCATTGTTCATGATGAGTCACAAGCTTTGTGTACTGTTGATGTTTGTTTTTGTTTGTATTTGTTGCTGTGTGTACTTCGCCTATAAATATTTGTCATGTTACCTTTTTCCTTATCTCTTCTTTCTCTTGTTCCCTTGTCTTCCTTTTACTCCCTCTGTTTCTATGCTCAGTAAAAGGTAAGTTATATTGAGCTCATGTTATTTATACATTTGCTGATTATACTTGACC